CCTGGTCCCCTCCCCCCCCCCCCCAGTGCCTGTGGGCCCCCTGCCTCTGTGGGTGCAGCTTTAAGATTTCCTGGAGGCCTCCAAATCTCAAATATCCTGCTTCCATAGAGGCTGAATAAAGACCAGTTTGGAGTACACGGAATTTCTCACCTCCTGTGCACACGGGGGGCTGGCCCCCCTTTCTGGCATTTGGTGCTTGGCAAAATGGCACACGTGCTATAGTCAGCCCTGCCCACCCCCATCCTGGGCCCGCTCCCCTGAATCTCTCCGCCAGGCTCTGGGGAGCCCCGTGTCCAGGCCGCAGGCCCGGCTGGCTCACCATAGAAGTCAGCAGGGTTGCTGTAGCGAGGACAGGGGTAGCCGACCGCCGTGAAATACTGGACCATGTGCTGGGCGGCCCCCAAGTAGACGGTGATGCCCGATGTCATCAGGAGGACCAGGTCGAAGAGCCTGAAGATGTCGGAACGAGGCTGGTGCAGGGAGATGAGCACCAGCCTGTTGCCCTTGGCCAGCCTGGACAGGGTCTTCACCAGGTTGTGGGCCGTGAAGCTGTCGAGCCCGGAGGTGGGCTCGTCCAGGATGAGGATCCCTTCCAGGCGGAGAGGGAGCCGGGCAAGTCGTCAGGGCTCTGGCTGGACCGGGCCGAGCCAGGTGGGCGGCCCGGGCCCCTCCAGCCCCCGGCACCCGCAGCGCTCACCTGGGTTCCACAGCAGCTGCACCCCGATGCTGACTCTCCGCCGCTCGCCCCCCGACACCCCCCGCACGTAGGTGTTGCCCACGCGCGTGTTGGCACACTGCCGCAGCCGCAGCTCGGCGATCACGTCGTCCACCTGGGCACGAGAGGAGCCCGGCTTGGAGGCCGCCCCAGGGCCACACACACTCGGCCCCAAAGCATAAAACACCTGCCCCCTGGGTGGGTTGGAGCGCAGCCTCCGCCCCCGACTGCCCAGCGTCGCCAGCAGGTCCCACGTGGATGCCGCGAGCTGGGCAGCTGGCTGTGTCTTGGGGACAAGGCAGCGGGCTCCCCGCCACACGGAGGATCAGGAACCAAGTAACCGGATGCTCATCACACACTGTGCCGCCTGCGGCGAGGGGAGCCCCCGGCCTGCGACGGCGCTTGGGGGGCTCTGGGCTCTAGCTGCCGGGGGGCGGGCGGGCAGAGCGCACCCCGGGCTCTTCCAGGGGGCCGGGCGGTGCCCCGAGTGGCTCCACTCCCTGTGGCTGGGCCCCGGGCAGGGCGGGGGGGCAGGCCGGGGAGAGGTGCGGTGGCTTCGTGGGGTCACCGGGTCAGTTAGCTACCCTCTTGTCACGCTGGGCCTGGGAGAAGGTCCTGGGCAGGCGCAGCTGGGCGACGAAAGCCAAGGTCTCGCGGACGGTCAGGTTGGGGAGCAGCTGGTCCTGCTGGCGCACGTGGGCCACAGACTTCCTCACCAGCTGCGGGGTGCTGGGCTGCCCGTTGATCCAGATTTGGCCGGACTTAATTTTGCCACTGTGGCCTCGCCCGGTGATCACGTCCAGGAAAGAGGCTCTGCCACAACCTGCAAAGCCACCGGAGACGCCCCTGAGATCACAGGTTCGGGGGCCAGCCTGGAGGCTGCCTGCACCCCCTTCAGGGACCCTAGAAGTGACCAGTCCCCAGGGAAGGGACACAGAACTCAGCACTGGGTGAGGCAGCCCAGCAGCTGGAGCTCCAGGCCCTTGACCGCAGCCCACCTGAGCACCCTGGGGTGCTGAGGGCACACTGAGGCTGGGGTTGCTGCCTGGCCAGCCAGGAGGACAGGGCTCTGGCTGCCACGGGCCTGCCTGTGCCTGGAGTGATGTCCCTCCCTCAGAAGCAGGGCTGGTGCTAACTGCACTGTGAAGCTGAACTGGTTGGGGCTGCAAACATGCCAGCCACATTTCATCATTCGACTCATTTGGCTCAGGAGCTGGCTTTGTGGGAAGGACTAATTTGGAGAATTAATAGGCTGTCTTTTAAACATGCAAAAGTGGATCTATTTTTAGATATAAGGGAGAGAAAAATAGAAAAGTAATAGATGTGGGAATGATTTAAAAACTACAGCACAGTGTACATGTGTGTTCTGAATTTCTCTCCACTTTTTATATGCTTATTTAAAAAAATTTTTTAATTGATTTTAGAGAGTGAGGAAGAGAGAGAGATCAGTTTGTTGTTTCACTTATTTATGCATTTGTTGGTTGATTCTTATATGTGCCCCGACCTGGCATCGAACCCACAACCTGGCCATATTGAGATGATGCTCCAACCAACTGAGCTACCTGGCCAGAGCCTACGTGCTCTAATTTTTATCAGTCATACTTTTTACTCTTTAAAAAAAAAATGAACAACAATGATTCATTGCACACAAATGAACACCACCCACTTCTGAATGGCATAGTGATTGCTGTTGGGTCAGGGAAGTAAGTGCCAGATTGCACCAGGATTCTGGAAGACATTCGATGAGACTCTTTCTTTGACAGCCATTTAAGCTGTGAAAGAGAAATGGGCTCAAGATCTGAGAACACCTTCTTGCAAACGAGCTGGAAAGAACCTGTCCAGTTACCCCAGATGGGGTTTTGGTTTCTTTACTACAGATTCCTTTAAGAGAGCAAATCTTCCAAGTTATTTTCAAACAAGGAAAGTACCAATACACATCGTGTGACAACTCGCCACATGCCACGTGCCTCCTGCAGGCAGCCCCAGTGCCCCTGTGCAAAGAACAAAAATCAAGAAGCTTCCCCAGTGATCCTTCTGCACAGGGATCACAAGTTGTCAGGGTAGAAAGGGACCTGCACGCTGCCTCCCAGCTGCACCTCCTTCAAGGTCCCCGAGAACTTAGGTGGAACAAAATAGCCAGGAGAGAAGCCAGAGAGGTGGGCTGCGGTCCTGTGCTCAGACTTGGGTATTGGCTCCAGGCTCTGGGAGCACAGGGAACTTTGCCAACTTTTGCAGGGACTGCGGGGTCCCCAACCAGGAGGGGAAAGGCCACATTTCCGGAACAAAGCTTTGTGAGAGGAGTGGGTGCCTTTCTAGCTCCTGGTGCAACTGGGGAGACCCTCACGCACCAGGAGCAAACACCGGCATTCAAGATCCTCATAAAACAGCCGGAGTCTCTGAAGCAGGGAATTCATTCATTGGAGGACACCTTTGCACTGCTGATTCCGTAGAAGCTAAAATGCCTGGGGCTGTTTTGTTTTATGTATTTATTTTTAAAATTATAAACAGATTATTATTATTTTGGTGAGTGGAATAAATGGCACAGGAAGTATTATTGATAAACCTTTCTAAGAAATCATCTTAATAATTTCAGCCAAGTCAATCTGAAGCTAAACACACTGAGCCTAGAGCCAGAGGACCTGGAGAGGGCTCCGTGTGGCCTCCCCAAGCCTCACTTTCCTCAGCGGCAGGTCAGGGATGCTGACAGCTGCAGGGCTGTGTGTGGTGAGATGACTCTGCGGCCTTGTGGGAGCACCTGGAACAGCCCCTGTGCCTCCTAGATTATTAATTTTTAAAGAGAAAGCAGATTAAACAGGAAAATCCACCAGGAGTTAGAAACAAAAATAAAACAGGCCTATGAAGCAGCCACTTTTTTCTTGTTTAGATCAGAACTGCAGGGACAGGGCCCTAAGCAGGTAGGACTTGACCTGCGGGGTTGTTCCAGTGACAAAGTGCATTTACACGCATTTGATCTTTGGTTAGACAATAAACAGAACTTCCCTGTCCGAAGATTGTAAAAATTTGGAGCAGATGTTCAAAAAGTTGAGTAATCTGTACTTCTGGAAATGATTAATGAAAAGGTATAAAGTGCTGTCTCTAACACTGTTAGGGAGAAACGCTTTTATCTGAGATGATAATCAGGAGACCAAAGTTCTAGTTCTAGGTCTGCATGAAGTATATGTCCTTAGGTGTGTGTGTTTGTCTGTGTCTGTGGAAAGGGGGGGGACACTAAAAATAATGAGGGCCAGCTCATTTGAAAACCCTCCTGTAAAGATGCTTCCAAGCAGGTAAGGAGAAAGACAGGTAGAAGGCAATGGCGAGAACGCGCTCTGCTCTCCAAGTCCCCTCCCGGCCCTGGCGTTCTGCAATGCTAAGTCTGGCCTGTGGAAGTGACTGTTAAGGCACCGCAAGCATCTGGATCTGTGCAATGGTGGAAAGTTGAGCTCAGGCTAGGAGGGGCTGTGTCTACCCGCTGTTTGACCAAAGCCAGAATCTGATTGTGGGGGGACAATGAATGCTCTTGTGGTGGAGGAGTCCCCTGAAAAGAACACTCAGTCTGAAGCTGCCTGACAGTCCTGGAGAGGTTTTTGCCTTGTCTCAATACAGGTGTTATGGACAGAAGCTCTGGCTGCAGCTTCAAGGGGCACACTCCTGATTCCACACCAAGGATCTCAGCAACTGCCTGAGAGCTGGTAAATGGAGCAGCAGAGATTTGAACCCAGGTCTGTCTGACCCAGAGCCCATGCTCTCAGACACTCTGCTAGAGTATTCTACTAGTCAGCACAGGGTTCTGTAAGAAGCATCCATTTGCCCAAAGGACAATTCTACATCCCAGTGCCCCACTATCTGCCGGTAGTGTACCTGAGCTCCCTATGATGGCCAGCATCTGCCCACTCCTCACTTTGAAGCTCAGGTTCTGGATGCCCAGCTCACAAGAGTCCTTGGGAGATGCCCAAGGCATCTTGAACTGAGCCAGCTGCTCAAACCAAGGCACCTGGGAGGCCACATCCACCTGTGGGGAAGACATCAGAAGGTTCCTCAGAGAGCTGGATGGCTCAAGAGCTTCAGAAACTTCTGTCCAACTTGCTACAGGAGACCTCTTCCTGCAGATACACAACAGGCCTGAGGGGTCCCCACCCAGGGTCTACCAATCACAGGGACTGGAGTCCACCATGCTGAGAACCTGGACCTGCCATTTCCAAGTCTGAAGATAACACATGGAAAACATGTGTAACAGCAGAACAGAAATAAAAATACAACATGAAGTAAAATGATGCCTTCACTCAATAATAATAGTAATTTACTAATAATTTAAAGAATGTTTACTATGTTCAGGACATTCAGTAATTAATTTATATTCATTATCTCATGCAATCTTCATTGCAAACTTATAACACGGGTATGATTATAATCCCTGTTCTACAGATACAGCTCAGAGCAGTTAAGAAGCTTGTCATGATCACAGAACTAGCAAGTGGCAGTGCAGGGAAAGGCTATGGCATGGCTCGTTAGCTGTCCTAACTCACCTCCGCGGGAAGCCAGATTTGGGCCTCAGGGGTTCACCATCCCACGCCCCACCACATCCCATCTGGACCACCTGGGGTCTGCCCCTGGGGAGGTGTGGGAAACAGGGGTCTTGAATCTGACCTGTCAGGGGATTCCTGACAGTCCCTAAAAGGCACTTGCACTCTGACTGTTTTATTAGCTCTAGGGACAGTACATTTTACCCCCAAAAAAGATAACGACAAACTCTGTCGTTTACTTACTAGCACCACACCACTGTAATGCCTTAGTTTTGGTAACTGCTATGGGCTATGGGTAAGATGCTAGCATCAGGGAAAGTGGGGCAAAGGCTAATGGGAACGCTCTACTATTTTTTTCAACTTTTTCAAAAGCTAAAATTATTTCAAAATATAAAGTTAGTAAGGAGATTTAGAGACACCCCCCGCCCCTCCCCACAGGTTCACACAGTTTGTTTCATGTTTTAACAGAGGTCTCTGTGCTTCGAAGCCTCCAGCCACAACAGTGCGGTTGAAGGAAGCCTCCCGGCACCCATCGCGTGGGGCAACGACATGGACTCGGCTCTGTCTTTGGGAGCAGAGGCCCCTTCTCTTCCACTGAGGGCACCGCCTGGCCTTCCCTGCCCGCTCTTCCCGCCTGTTCTTAGGCGTGCCTCTACCTGGTAGCTGAGGCCTCGGACCTCCAAGGTGTTGGACGGGCCGCTGTAGGTGAAGTACAGGCTGCTGTCGTTTTCAGAAGAGAATAAGCTGTCCTGGAGGCCCTGCGGGGAGACGTGACAAGGTGAAGGGCTCCTTCAGAAGCTGCTGGGGACACAGACTGAAGCAGAGGGGAGACCCGACAGGAGAGAACAACAGCTAGTGTGGTGGAGATCCCAAATTAGCAAGCCATGGGTTTGGGCAGGTGGAGCCCAAGGGCTGTGAGAAAATAGGAGCCTCGATGAGGGCACATCTCGTCTTTCCTGCGGAGAGAGCTTTAGGACTCCCCTCACCCCCAACCTGCTGCTCCAGTATAGCTCCTGGCCCCAGAGAACCTCAACTGCAGGCTGGTGGACTGTGAACCCAAGCAGCCATGGTGGACAAGGTCCAGTCTCTGGACTGGAAGGAGCTTTGTGAGTCTCTGAGCTCTGGGAAGACCTGAGCTGGGAGCTGGCCTTTAACTTTCTCTTCCCTGCATCTGACTTAGTGTCTCCGAATGCCAACCAGACTCTACACATCGAGCATGTGGGAGGAAACCGCTAATCAACAAGCTAACGCTCAGTGTTTATGAAGAGATCATCCTTAGAAAGGTTGCATCTGAGTTTGATGAGGAGATTTGCACAACAAAGCTGTTCAAAATGCTCTTGGGAGATTCCAAATAGAGTCCATTTCTCTTCCCCATCTTGTTCTGTTATTGTTGGAGAACCACTGTATTTGAATGTACAGCAAATAGATGTTTTGCGGCATCAGCTGATACCTTTGAATGGTATTAACCATCTGCAGATCTGAACTCCTTCTGTTTTATCAAGTCAATCACTTATTCATTGAGGCCTAGAAGAGAAAGCTGCCCAGTGAAGTTTCCGTGTCTTAATGCATTCCGGTCCCTTCTGTTTCTGTAGTGCAGGGCAAACGTGCTCAGTAACAAGCTCCTGCTGGCCCCAGTCCTCTCCCTCCGACGCCAGTCTCCCAGCGATGCACTCCTTCAATCAACCACGGAGGCATCCAGCAGACACTCATTGGGAGCCCGCGACACGCTTCAGGCAGGGAGTTTGGGACGTGGCCGTGAAAAAGACAGTCTTTGAGAAGCTTAGATTTCAGTGGCTGACAGGTGATTAGGGTGGAGCAAGACAGGCCAGGTGTGGAGACAGGGTGACCTCAAGCACCCAATCAGGATGTGTTTTCACTGTGCATACACTGTGCTGGGTGTGAAAATACTGTGACTTATGATGCGTGTGAAAATGACACCCGCAGTCTTTGTCAAAGCCTCCCTGCCATGGGGGAGGTGAGAGGTCCTTGGAAAGGACATCCCAGAGCAATGGAAGTGGAAGGAGATAATACAGGTGACAGTCAGCAGCGGGCCCACTGAGAGTAGTCCCCAGGTTTCTGGGAGAGTATGGAAGCAGCAGACCATAGCTGTTCGAAATATTCTGAAATATTTCAAAATATGTTTTCAAATAGAGAGAGCTGGTGAGTGAGCAGAACTCCAGATTTCTGTTCCTACCTCGACCCGCAGCTGCGGATGCCTCCAAGGCAGGAGCCAGAGGCGGAGGTGGAGGAGGCGAGAGGGTCTGCGCCCCCCGAGGTGGAGAACGAAGCTCCGGGAAGATCAAGCGCAGATCAGAAAGCTGCCGGACTCCAGCAGGGCTGCCCCCGGACTCTCACCCGCCAACCACCCCCCCACCGGCATCCCCACCGCCTAGCTTTACCATTTAATTTTGTTAAATTACCAGAAATTCTGTCAATTGCTAAGTGACTTGTTTGGGCTAATATGCATCCTGTTTGTTTGTTTTTAAAAGCAAATATCTGCAGGAAGGATATTAGTCAATAGGTATAAGATATGAGTTAGCTCGGAAATAGCTTCTGGGAACAAACACCTGGCCTTCCCCAGGTCAGATTCCCGGTGGAGGGGCTGCTGAGAAAGGAAGGCTGCACATTTTGGAATCTGGACCAATATGTGGAGGTGATCTCAAGCCTGGTCAGAGGCAGGGGTGTCCACTTTCCCGGCAGGTAGGTGCTCTGAGGAGGTGGAGGGTGCCGAGGCGCAGAGGAGAGAGGCAGCGGGCAGAAAGGGGTAAGGAAGGAGGGAGGTGCGCGGGCCCTGCTCTCGGCTTCCCCGGCCCTGGACCCCACCACCCAGCGGACTGTGCCTTCCGGAGCACACAGGCAGCTCAGCTTTCGGAAGAAGAGAGCTTGTGACCTCTGTTCCATTTTGAAATATTTTCCTTGGCTCCCAGGAAGGATTTGTTAGACTTTTCCTGAGGTTTTGACAAACTCTCTGTATTTTTCAAATACTTAAATATCTATTCAGCTGACATCTTAATCAGTACGACTGTCAGAATATCACTTGAATTTCTGACAGGTGACACCCAAAAAAGCAAAAGCAGATTTATTTGTAGGTAACCAGCTTGGCTCCTGCTGGGCTACACTGTAATTTCTCCTTCTATTAACTTTTGATCAAATTCCTGAGTCAGAGCCTCAAGAGGAAGGAAATTGGGGGAGCACAGAGCACAGGTCCTTGTTCTAAGATGAGGAGCCCGTGCCCTGGACAAGTAGTGACATGCTGAGGACTCACGCCTGGGACACACGCAGGCTTTGTTCTTGGCTGAGGGGACAAGCCTGGCCCTTTCCCAAAATGTTCCGCTCAGATCTCTCACAGCTCTGCCCCCAGGCCTGGGCCCCTCTCACGGTCTTCTGGTCATGATCCTGTCTGTGGACCGATCTGTGGGCTAAGGGCACTTGCCACGCCACGGACCAGGACCCCAAAATTCCCTGTGCAAATGACCTCAAGCCCACTCTCAGGGCCTGTGTGAACCTTGTCCCAGGCCCAACTGGGCACCCCAGGCCCCAGGGCATTTGTCTGTGGAGAGTGTGTATGGAATGTAGGTGGGCAGGGTGTGTGTGTGAGGGCTCATGTGGAGCTGGGGGTGAGCAGAGACGGGGGGCAGGCTGTGGGTTAGGCTGGAAGCTGGTTTTCCTGTGCCAGCACATTCTAGTTGTCCCTCCAAGAAATACTAGAATTTTTATTTCATTTTTACTTATTGATTTTTAGAGAAAGAGAGGAAGGGAGAGAAAGAGAGAGAGAAACATCAATCTGTTGTTCCTCTTATTATTTATGCATTAATTGGTTGATTCTTGTATGTGCCCTGACCAGGGATCAGACCCGCAACCCTGGTGTGTCAGGACGATGCTCTAACCAACTGAGCTACCTGCCAGGGCCGAAGTCTTGGACCTTTTAAATTTATGCCTGACTTCCCAGGTTGTGGGGAAGGTATATGAAGGTAAAAGGATAGAAACCATTTTTATTTAACAGTTTTTAGCTTCATTAACGACTTTAAACGACCTAGTCATGATGCATAGCCTCATCGTCTTCTCCTGGCCCCTTGAGTAACAGGATTGGAGAAAAGAGCATGGAAACGGCATTATTTCTGCGGCCTGCATTCCTGGATGTCGGCTCAGGCAGGTCTCTGCCTCCCAAGCTACTGTGGGTGAGCTGTCAGGCCTTCTAGGCAGAAAGTCAGCCACCGCTGAGTTTATATCCCGTTCAGGCCGTGAGCACGCCCGGCACAGCTCCTGGGAGTCGTGTCCTGGGGGCACTGGGCCCGTGGTTATCCCCAGAGCAGGGCTGGCCATTTGCTGCGGCTGCGAGCTCAGCAGGCATGGCCGGTGCCCTGGGCCTGGCTGAGGTCAGCAGCTCCAGGTCAGCGAGGTGGCCTGTGGCCTTCTCGCGGTGTGCGGAGTCCTCAGCGACTCTTGTCTTTCTCTCCCCCTTCCCCGGAGCAGGCAAACACAGGAAGGCAGGGTGAGGCAAGGGTAGAGGGTGGGGATCTGTTTCCTTTCAACCTTCCCATTTAGCTTCCTGCTTCAAATCTTGCCCACACTCCAATTTTGTCAAAGGCCATTTCTCAAGTAAACGTTTCTTATGTAAAATGAGGGCAGACACCCTAGGCCCCCACCTCGTGGCCCCCGGCTGTCGTCTAGTCCTGGGATCTCTCCCATCACTGCCTGCTGTGGCCACATTTTGAACATAAACTATGATGTGCTCACAAACATCACCTGCCATCCTGTCTCATCAGTTTACTACCACTGAGATACTGAGCTTGATGGTCACATGGACAAAGGGGACACTGCAGCGTCCCTGGTATGTGTAGGAACATTTCTGTGATAGAGTGGCATTTGGAAAAAGCTGGGTCAGCCCAAGTCACCAACAAGAACATCATTTCCCTGCAGGAGCACGCCTCAGGTCAGGAGGTGACCTCGGGAGCCCCCCCCACCTCCTGACCCCTGAATCTGCCCCCTTAGCCCTTCGACGCCGAGGAAATGGGGTCCTGCTGCCACGGAAGATTCCTGAGGGAAGAAAGTAAGGTCCCATCCACCCCCACCCACTAGGACTGAGGTGACTCCCCATCACTCACCGAGGCATCTTGGGGAGCAGCCCTGGTCCCCAGCCCTCTGTCCTCCGGGGCCATCTCAGCCATGGGGCCCAGCAGCGTCTATGTCCCTTGCTGAGATTCCTTTGGACCTTAGCTGCCACCCGCCAGTGCCAATGTTTTCTCTTTGTCCCAGAGTGGAGCAACCTCTGGCCCTCGTTTGATCAGCCACTGTCTGTCTCCCAGCATCCTCTCTGGCCAGCTTTCCCACAAACACGGCGTGTGTGCTCTGCCCACTGCCAAGATAACACACACAGCTCTGGCTAAAGGTACATCAGATAATGTCCTTTATGGCCAAGCTCCGTCCCGCTGCTGGGTAGGCCAAAGGAGGGACTCCAGGGCCAGGTGAGGTCTGCGGCCGGCTCCTCAGCCGAGGCCACTCCAGGGAAGGTCGGGCACTAGAAAGTCCTCCTGTCTTTGCTGCCTGCTGACCATGAGTGAACTCCCATCTTCGACTCCTGTGGGGTCCTTAGGACTCCAAATAAACAAAGGCTCCCGGTGCTCATCAGAGGACGTTCCTGCAGCTACGTCAAAGCCTCGGCACAGCCTGGGGGTTCTCCATGCCTCCTACAGTGTCAGGTAAGCGGGCATGACCCAAGGTGACGGCACCACTCACCCCTCCGCTGGCTTTCGCTGATGGGGGCATGTTTGGAGGCTTCAGCTCCCTCTTTAGTGGATCGAGGTGGAGAGAGGAGAGGGAAGGGCTGCCAGTGATAAAGGAGGAACAATGGCCCCTCCTCCTGCCCGTGGCAGCACCTGGAAGCTATGCCAACTGGGCAGCTGTGCTCTGCCTCGTGCCCCTGTGCCCCTTGCCCCTTCCCGTGTGTTCCCCTGGTGTGCAAGCTGTTTGATGTAAATGGAGAGGACTTGAGGAATGGGGGTGCTTGCAATACGAGGTGCAGTAAAGCCTGGTGAAAAAATGCAGGGTGAACCGAAGGAATGAGCAGCGTCCTGTTTGCCACCTCCCAGCCAGCCAGAAAGAGCTGGCACTCGGAGCAGCTGCGGGCAGGTGCTTTCCACAGGTGATCTTTGTCACTACTTGCCAGGGTCCACAGAGGAGGACACCTAGGAACATGTCGAGAGACAGCTGGGGTGGGGCAGAGCTGGCATCACTACTGGGGGACAAAATTGTGGCCCCTTCCCAGACCCCACTCTGCCTTTCCCCCTCGGGGTTTCCTTTAAAGCCATCGAGTTGGGCCCTGGTGGAACATCGCATCTTGCCGGCAGCGGTGGAAGAGGCAGATCCTCAAAGATGTCTCCTTGTACGTTGAGAGCGGGCAGATCATGTGCATCTTGGGGAGCTCAGGTAAGCTTGAGACGGAGGGCTCCAAATTCTTCATGAGCATTCAGGAAAGGCTGTGTGGTTTGATTTGACCACCACACTGAGGAAACAGGTTTAAGCTGTAGCAAGAAGTTCGTAACAAGTTTTATGTTAGCATGAAATCTAATGGCATGTCTGACTGTGAATGCAAGGAGCCTGGGACTAATTGACATCTTTAGAAAGATCCTTGGAAAAGTTTCAAGCCCTGCCTAATATGTAAGTTAATTCAGCAGCTGGGAAATAGGTGCACTGGCCCTAAGAGGAGATCTGTGTGACACACAACGGTGTCCACTACACTCAGTTATCCTGCACATTTCAAGGTTGAAAGAGTCTGACAAATTGGCTTCACAGAGGAGCCTCTTGACTGAGTCCTTGCTTGAAAATTGTTGACGTGTCCTGACTCTCCACTTACAGCACTCTCTTTACTAGAGATGGAAGTCTGTGATTAAGTCAGGCATGCTCAGCCTTTCAGCCTGAGGTGTTAAATCCATAGCCACTCCCCTGCTACAGCAGGTGGACAACTGGATGGCAGTGGCAACGGTGAGTTTAAATGGAAAGGAATTCATTGACTAAGACTTCACTTTCCTGAGTGTTTCATAAAATGACATGATTTCACTGGTGTCTTACCTAAAGCAGCGTTGTTTATCAAATCTTCATTGGTGAGGCAAAGATGACTTAGGTGTTCAAAGCCTCACTAAAGAATGGGGTCACCTGACACTCCAGGGGAAGGTAACTTTATCTGACCCATCATATGCTATCGATTAGGACCTAGATTCTGTGCCACGTGTTCCCTCGCAGGAGACTAGTAACAAACGATTCCTGTCCTTTTAGGCAAGATGACCCCAAAGGTCATGGGGCTATTGCCCTGTATGGCATTAACCGGTTTTGTTTCTTTTTTCCTTTTTTACTATAGTAAAATTTACATAAAATTTACCATCTTAATCATTTTTAAGTGCACAGTTCAGTGGTATCAAATATATTCACAACATTGAGCATCTACCACCACCATGCATACCCATAACTCTTCATCTTGTAAACCAAAGCTCTGTCCCATTAAACAATAACTCCGCCTTCTCCCCTCCTCTCAGCCCCTGGCAGCCACCATTACACTTTTGCCTTCGTAATTTTGACTACTAACTACTTCATGTAAGAGAAATTATGCAAACTTTGTCTTTCCGTGAGTGGCATATTTCGCTTACCATAATGTCCTCAAGGTTCATCCATATTGTAGCATATTGCAGAATTTCCTTCCTTTTTAAGGCTGAATACTATTCCACTGTATATATACATTTATACTCTCTCCTCTCGCTCTCTCTTAGTTGCCATCCTAATGAGGGTGAGGTGGTATCTCACTGTAGTTTTTGTTTTTTTTTTTAATTTATCTTTATTGTTGAAAGTATTACAGGTGTCCCATTTTTCCCCCCAATTGACCCCGTCCACCTCACTCCCACCCCCCTCCCCATGCCTTCACCCTGTTATTAGGTGTGTCCATGGGTTATGCATATATGCATATAACTTCTTTGGTTAATCTCTTCCCAACCTCCACCCCCCTTCCCTCTTTCCTCTGAAATATGATCGTCTGTTGCATGTGTCAATGTCTCTGGATCTATTTAGCTCATCAGATTCTTTTGTTCATTAGCTTCTTCTTAAAGAAGACCCTTCAACATTTCCTGTAGTGCTGGTCTGGTGGTGATGAACTCCTTTAGCTTTTTCTTATCTGTGAAGCTCTTTATCTCACCTTCAATTCTAAATGATAGCTTTGCTGGGTAGAGCAATCTTGGTTGTAGTTCCATGTTTTTCATCACTTTGAATATTTCTTGCCACTCCCTTCTGGCCTGCAAGGTTTCTGTTGAGAAATCAGCTGACAGTCCTATGGGTGCTCCCTTATAGGTAACTAACTGCTTTTCTCTTGCTGCTTTTAAGATTCTCGCTCTTTCTTTAACCTTTGGCATTTTAATTATGATGTGTCTTGCTGTGGGCCTCTTTGGGTTCCTCTTCTTTGGGACCCTCTGTGCTTCCTGGACTTGTAAGTCTATTTCTTTCCCCAGGTAGGGGAAGTTTTCTGTAATTATTTTTTCAAATAGGTTTTCAATTNCCAGGTAGGGGAAGTTTTCTGTGATTATTTTTGCAAATAGGTTTTCAATTTCTTCCTCTCTTTCTTCCCCTTCTGGCACCCCAATAATATGAATGTTGGGCCTCTTGAAGTTGTCCCAGAGGCTCCTTATACTATCTTCATATTTCTGGATTCTTTTTTCTTTTTGCTCTTCTGGTTGGGTGTCTTTTGTTTCCTCATGTTCCAAATTGCTGATTTGATTCTCAGCATCCTCTACTCTACGGTTGATTCCCTGTAAATTATTCTTCATTTCAGTTTGTGTGGCCTTCATTTCAAATTGGTACTTTATGATGTTATAGATTTTCTCAGTTGTTTTTGTAATAATATGCTTGAGCATCCTTATAAACAAAATTCTGAACTCTGTATCTGTTAGCTTGCTTGGATCTATTTCATTTAGTTCCTTTTCTAGAGATTTCTCCTGTTCTTTCCTTTGTGATATGTTTCTCCACATTTTGGCTGCTTCCAGGTGTTTGTTTCTATGTATTAGGTGGAGCTGCTATGTCTCCTGGAATTTGTAGAGTGGCTTTGTGTAGTAGGNNGTTGTGAGGACCAGCTGCAACTACAGCCAAAGAGCTGCTGTGCTGGAGACACCCCTATGGAGCAGGATTTACTTCAGTGGGGCTTTGGTGTTCACCAAGTGCGCCCCCTGAGTGTGTCACTTGTGGATGTGGTAGGGTTATAATCCAGTGTGGTTGAGTCTGACCACCCGGTGCACTGTTTCTAGGGCCTCCCAGGAGGTGCAAAGTGAGCCTCTGCCAGTGCCTTGCCCAGGGCCACCCAGCATGAGCTACACAGCAAATTGTAGTTGGCTGCTACTTGTGCTGGGCTTGGTGTTGTCTAGGAGAGGCCAAGCTATGAGCCAATGCAGGTGCCGCTAGTGCCAGGCCTGGGGCCCCTTATCAAGCCGCATGGGGCCCACTGCTGCTTGTTTGAGAGATTTTAGGAAAGTCCTAAGCATGAGGCTCGAGAGGCCACTTGCACAGAAAAGCCCCTGGAAATGGCCTGGATGAGCCTGCAGGTGGGGAGGGGCGGAGCTAAAGGTGTGAGTCAGGTGCTGGCGATTCAAACATGACTCCCGTCTGATGGCTGTGTGCAGGGAGGTCTCGCCAAAGGAGCACTGGCCTCCGCCAGCCCTTCTGCCTGGGAGGAAGCCGCCCCTCCACCTCTTGCCCCAACTTCAGGCAGGTTAGTTCCTCCCCAAGTGTCCCAGGCCCCTTCAAGCTGCTGCCCAGTGCTGGGCTCAGAGGGAGCGCGTCTGAGTGAGTCCGTGCCGGGCCCTTTAAGAGGAAAGCCTGGGGCTCCCACAGCCTCCGTGACCCTCAGGGACAGTCCCCGCTGGTTTCACAGCCCGGAGTTGTGGGGACGTCTCTTCCCGGCCCTGGAGCCCTGGGCTGGTGGCCTGCTGTGGGGCTGTGACCCCTCGCTCCTCTGGGAAACCCCCACCACTGAGATTCCCTCCCGGGTTTAAACCGCGGCACTGGGTGTGGGCCTGCTGCCGCGTCTCCAGGATCCAGCCCTGATCCGCCGGCATCTCCGCCCCTCCTACTCTTCTTGATGCTTCTTCAGTTCCCTGGTTGTAGGGCTTCTGTTCAGCCAGATCTCAGGAGGTTCTCAGTGACGGTGGTTCTGTATTTCAGTTGTAATTCTGATGTGGTTGCGGGAGGTGGCGGTGCAGCTGTGACCTACGCCACCCTCTTGATCCCCTTGCTATAGTTTTGATTTGCGGTTCCCTAATGATTAGTGATGCTGGACATCTTATTTCCTAGCAAGGTTCCCTAATGATTAGTGATGCTGGACATCTTATTTCCTAGCAACAACCCACTGGGTCATGTCCAAGGCTGTCCTCCCCGGCTGACGCGGGTGGTTTCACCAAAGGACTCGCTAAGCTAGCGCTTCTCAAGCTCTAACATGCATGGGAATCACCCAGGGATCTTGGAAAAAGCAGAATCTGTTCCAGCGACTGCGGGCGGGCCTGGGGTTCTGCGGGTCTAACAAGCTCTCCGGGGACCCTGAGGCTGCTGGTGGCTGGACCACCCTTGATTAGCAGGATTCTAGGCACTGTCCCCCTACTTTCGGGAACCACCGGACCATCCCAGGCGACCATAAAAAGAAACTCAGATGTCCTGGGACCAAGTGTTCCCAAGAGCCCCGGTTTTCCTTTTATTTTGATGCTATATTGTCTTTTTCAGTGGGACTCAGCTTTAAAAGCAAGTAGGCAGCCGGCGCCCCTCCAGCCCGACGCCTAGAGCACTGACCCTGGGGACAGGCAGGGCCCCCCCTGGTGCCCGGAGAGCTCGCCCAGCTGGGCCCTGGCCGTCCCGGGGCGGGGAAGGCCCTGCGGCCCTCACGGCCCTCGCGGGGACCTCCTCCAGCCCTGTCGCCCACAGGCTCCGGGAAGAGCACGCTGCTGGACTTCGTGGCCGGGCGGCTGCGGCGCAGGGGCGC